TTACCTTACTATATATATATATATATATATATATATATGTGGAAGAGACTTCACAACACCTACGGATGAAAATGAATAGTCTTTTCGCCCATAGATTCACCACCACTTGAGAAAATCGGACAGCGTGGTATTTTTCAGCCGCCACGGACCTAGCATGTCCGTGACAGTAAAACATTTACGTGGAACCACAATAGACGATGCGTTCGTTCAATAAACCGTCACAGACATAGCAAGTTCGTAAAGATGACGAAACACTGTCGCATTTCGCCCATGTGCATAATTGTATGTGCATCTATATTATAACGTCTGGCCGAGGCAGAAGAAGGAACAAGACAATACTTTTAGGTTTTTAGCATTGCAACACAGGTTGTGGGTTGAATTCAAAATCAATCAGTTTTTGTTATTAAGTATGATATCGGGGATGTCCGAGTATGGCAAACATAGATCCATGAGTGAGAAAGAATACATGGCTCTGAGTTGGATGTTCTCTCTCTTAGGGCTGGTTTTTTTGGATCCACCGTAACTTGGATCTTTAGGCGAAATCCAACTCGTCTGTGAGCCCATACTTTCTTTTGTAACTCTACCCTATCGGCATAGGGGGCAAGGCAAGATAGATGGATCCTATCTTGACCTGGGTCGGACTCACCATCCTACGACGGGCTGAAGAAGCCTCACTATCATCTCCGGTCGATGTAGATTTGGACATGTGCCACAAGAATAAAGGAGGACCCCACAAGACTGTTAAATAGAGAAATTTAGGGCATGATGTAGGGTATCATTTTATTTTTCAAAAAATAGTAAAGGGATTGTATACAATGAGACAATTTATATTTGGTACAAAATGATCACAATTACTTATACCCATACGATATGAAATCTGATAGCTTGGATGTGTCATAAAATTTGAGAAAATTTCTTATGTACTTTGAGCCTGGTCATTGAAATAAATGCAGCCACCCAATTTCACATCGAGTGGTATATGATTAATTGTGACCATCTTGTATTAGAGGTAAATGATCTCGTTGTATACTTTCCCATTAGTAAATCCTACTTTTTGGACAGAGAGATATTTTAGAATAGGATAGAGAAAATCTATGTACTTTCTATTTTATATTTAAAAAAATAAAATATTATCCCCTCCTTTAGGAAGATTAGGATTTTTTATAGGAGTCATAAAGGAATCACGTTATTTTTAGATAATTATCTAAGCCAAAAGTTTATCTAGAGCCAAGGTTCTAAACAATCAAATTTGAGCCAATCTCAAAAATCTCACTAGAAGAGGTTGTTTTGATGCTCAAATATATCAAATTGATCATCTTGTCATCAAGATGCACGGACATGAGAAAAAAATGGATTTCAAGTTTTAGAAATAGTATATTTTGTAACGCATTTTTGGACCGTCAGTTTTTAAGATTTTTATGCTTTCATAGATCTTTGCATCTATACTATTTTTTAATCTTTAAACTTTATAAATAAAGTTGAAAATATATCTTAAGGCAATCACAAAGATTTTCAATATTGAATCCACATTTTACGATACTTTTTGAAGGTAGGCTCTAATTTGATTGTTTAGAGCCTAGGCTCTATACAAACCGCACCCATTATCTAAAGTTCCATTCTTTTAAGAATTTCAATTTTGTCACATATTTTTATATATGTGACATGTTTATTACACGTATATGTCACATGTGCCGACTTATGTTTCACAT